ATTATATCACTCTTTTCCAGACATTCACCGCCGATGACTACCGTTTGACCCGTTTTCTCGGCAAAAGTAAAGAGGTATACATTTTGAGCGCAAATGTGTACATCATTTATACAGTATATGAATACACCGTTTGTTTAGATTAATCCGCGGTTTGCCATCGATTTGATAGCAGAGACGCCGCCGATCGCAGCCAAAGACCATTGGATCAGTTGCGACGGCGGCGGCGGACCGTTGGGTCACCCGAAGGTGTTCATCAATCTGGACGATCCCGGAGAGTACGGCACATGTGGTTACTGTGGTCTCAGATTTTACAAAGAGGGACACCAACCGCACCATTAGGTCCACTAGTTTTAGATATCTTTAGCTCAATCTTTATAAAAATTATTGTTTGTTTGGATTTATTGTAAATATTAGTGCAAAATAAATACTTTAAAGTAAANTTACTGTGGTCTCAGATTTTACAAAGAGGGACACCAACCGCACCATTAGGTCCACTAGTTTTAGATATCTTTAGCTCAATCTTTATAAAAATTATTGTTTGTTTGGATTTATTGTAAATATTAGTGCAAAATAAATACTTTAAAGTAAATGGCATTTTACTCAATATTTTATACATTATTAATGGCTTATAAATGGTTAGTTTGCGTGCAATCTATACATTATAATTACATATTAAAAACTATATCTGAAGCCAAATCTACAAATTTTGAATGAAATTTATATTGAATAAGATTTCATTGAATAACAGTTACAATAGAATATGTGATAATGAAAAAGTAAATTGAAAATAACGCCATTATTGCATAGAATTGCTTTATAACTGATTTGTTTGCTTTTTGTATAACTAATTATTAGTAATTTGTAATTACTGTCGGTGTTGTTGTGTTGTAAAAACTATAAATTATTTTATTTTCATAAAGCGTTTAAATATATTATGCATTTCACATATTGTGTTGAAATTACAAATATATTTCACTGGAAATGGTGTCAAATCCTCATATTTTGCATACTCTTAGAAATTGACAACAATTTTAATACTTAAAAGAGTTGTTGACTCGGAATAGAGAAGTGCAATATTTGAACAAGGTACATGTGTGGTCATACAATTGTACTACTGTGTAGATTAGATTGCATTATTGTGCAAAATGGTGTAATATTCGAGAATATAAAATGGTTTGATCTATGTTAATTATAATTATAAACATAGAGTGAAATATGCATTCAATTAATTCATCATAAAAAGGCAATTAACCTCCAAATGACATCCTCTCTAAAGCACAGCATCTTTTCCTATAACCCAAATGAGATTTGTTTTGGCATTTATTGTGTAACACTAGTAACGGCACCACCCGTTCCCATAACTGCCCCTTTCATGTAATAACAATATATAATTGCATTCAAAGAGAATTTAATTCAATGCTAAATATTAGGAGAAAATGATGTCTTTTAGGCAAAGAGATGAATGCGAGGAAAGCAAAAGTGAGTTAATTTTTGTGGATTTAAGTATAACAATATATAATTGCATTCAAAGAGAATTTAATTCAATGCTAAATATTAGGAGAAAATGATGTCTTTTAGGCAAAGAGATGAATGCGAGGAAAGCAAAAGTGAGTTAATTTTTGTGGATTTAAGTGATTCAGTGATTGTAACGAGAGATGAATTGGAGAAAAGCATTTCCCGAATCCCTAATTTAAAACTGAGAAGCGATCCGATCGACGAGATTCTGCACCAGAAGTCACGCCAACAGTCAATGCAATCAAATTCTTGTCGTTTGAAAAAGAGCTCAAAGAATACCAATTTAAATAAAATGCATTCAAAGCCAACTCTTTTGGCTCCAGACATCCGAGCGGAGCATTCATTAAAGTTTTCATACATTAATCCAATTCCTGAGTCAATGACTCGTTTGGATTTAAATGATTTTTGCGATACAGAAATCGATTGGAAAATGTTAACACTTTTGAGACCAAATACATCGCTCGATGAGCAATATTTTGAGCGTTTGGTACAACTCTATCAATGCAGACATAAGACCAGAACCGAAGATGGCTTTGGGAAGAGAAACGCTGTGTTTCGTGTGTCAAGACATCCGAGAATAATGCGATACAAAGCTATAATTTTTAAACGCTTTGATTCTTTCGGTTTTCAAACTAATGTCGGAATTAAAGAAGATTTTACTTATGAGGCCTTCGCTAGAGTTCCCGTCGAGACTCAAACCATTCAATCCGTCGATAGTATTGTGTCAGATGTAGACCTCCTCTCATTGACAGACATCTTAGACTTAAAGTTGTAGTTATTTTTTCAAAAAAATTAGTTTGTTTTATCATCAAAAGTGATCTCATTTATCACCCAATCTCTACGCAAACAGTTATTATAGATTGGAAAACAGTTTTTAATAAACAAATACCAAAACATTTTGGTTTCAAGTGATAAACAATCGCATTGAAAATGAATATGAAATAAAACGATGTAATCTTATGGATAAATACATTGAAAAATCTATAAATAAATAAAATGATTAGCAGTTTGTCGAATGCCTAACATTAGAGCCTATTATATGAGATGTTTTTTGTGTCTTTAGGTCGTCAGATGGGGAATAAAAAGTTAGTTAAACTACTTGTGAAAAAAATCGCATACAGAATACTGTACTAACTTATACTGTGTTGTATTGAGTACTGCATATGAAAAACATTGTGCCAGAGATGAGCAACAAGTCTGAGAGGCTGAGGATGCGATCGTAAAGCATAAGCATTTACACAGGGATGGCATCCATGGCTATAAAAGGAATCCTCAAACTATGCAATAGTTGTGTTTTGAGACCGACTTTTAGTTATAGGAAATATGAGACTTTGCGCTCTTCAAGAATTTCAAGGGGTGGTCGTGAAGATCAGTCACTTTGCGTTTGCCTCACAGCCTCACAGAGATCTACTCAACTGTATTAGACTCCAAACTCCTCCACCTTTTACTCTCATCTGTTCTGCGATTTGTGCGACAAGTTTTGATAGTTTGGATATCGAGGCGATAGCACTGAATACCAGTCTGAGTCCAATTGAAAGTTCGGTTCAGTTCTTCAGTTCTTTATTGAGTTGCAGTTATTGTAAAAGAAGTGAATTGATTGATAGATAACATCAATTCATTGATATGTCGGCGAGAAGTACTAAATATGTTTACCGCCAGTCCTCAGGACACGGCGGAGACCTATCCATTGAATACGGAACTGATTTGGGAGCTCTCACTCGACTCGAGGTTTGGTTTTTTCTTACATTTTTACAATCATTTCTCTAATTCTGTGCATTAAGAATACGTTTAGCGCTTATAAGCCTTTAATTAGTAAAACCATTAGATCTAAATGTCAATAAAATAAATGAAAAAGAGTAAAAACTCAAATCAAACTCTCTTTATCTCCCCGTATGGCGAAAACATACGAAAGTTTGACTGAATCTAAAAGTTATATTCATTTTGGATGAAAGCCATTGAATTTTTGTCGGATGACCTCATTTCCAAAGAGATAACATTTTTACTTTCTATCATTGTATTCATCCCAATATGGATCTCATTATTTGCTTTTATTCAATAAATAATTTATATATAATTTTTTATTTTAATAATTGTAGAGATTTTAAATCCATTTTAAAATATGCTTAAAAGCAATAAATTTTGATTTAATTTATTGAACAATGAAAATGTATTACACATTTGACGTCATATGACATTGAGATGAGAATATTCTGTGAAAAGTGTGTTTATTTAACTTTTATTCCTATCATAAAATTGCTTAAAATTTACATTTAGATATACAATAAATTATATCAACAAATCTTCGCACTTATTATACAATAACATTAAGAAATCTGTTTAATCTTTAACTTAAAAACTAAATTTTCATTTAATTTTAGGACAAAATCCGTCTTCTCTCTGAAGACTTGGAGACCGAGCGAGAGATGAGACAAAGAGTAAGTTTGGATATTATTTCCGTAGAAATCATTACTAAATCACTTCAAAAGCACTTTAAACCCCATAGAAGTCATTAAATGTTGAAAACCCGTTGAATTTCAAAAAACAATATAAATATTTTTGAGAGCAAAACAAAAATAGTTTATTTGTTACAAATTAATGTCATTATTCTCCCAATTCTTTGTGCACTAGATTTAGCTTTTAAAAAGGGTTTCAAAATATTTGTTCAAACATTAAAATAAATAATGAGAATTACGTTTAGAAAAATCGATATATAAATTTCATATCAATTACTTATATATTACACAATTATTAGTGGGATTTCTTTAAGTTTTGGCAAACAAGGAGTTCGTGAAGTACAGAGCAGTTTAGACACTACTTTTGGTTTGACTACTGTATCACATCTATTAATAGACCGAATGGGGATTCTTTCATGTCTTGCTTTCAAGTTTGAAAATAATTTCATTTCTTTAAATTCAGTTTTCATTTTTTATTAAAATATTATATTTGAAGCATTATTTATGCTAAAGACTAATGGGAAGGGATATAATTGGAAATGACCTCAAATCTGATTTTAATGAAACATTATTTCAAATAAATTAATAAATTATCATTTTATACAATAATAAACGATAGAAACTTTCATTAAAATTCTTAACGCTTTTACACACAAACAATGGGTTAGAATCACTTTGAATGATGATTTAAATTCATAAATAATATTATCTAGTATATAAATAACAAATTCTGATACGAGTTAAAAAGTATTGAAATTAAGACCACAGATATGTTAACTTCAAAATATCAAAAACTTTTATTGATAAAACAAAAAATACTAATAAATGCTTAATTATATAAAATTTAAACAAATAATTGGCATAATTAAGATCGAAAGAGAGCGCTCGGATCTGACCGTTCAACTAATTGGATTGACTGAACGACTGGAAGAGGCCGAGGGTTCGAGTGAAAGTGTGGTACGAATTGTCTTCATATTGTCTACATATAAGTAAAAACTGAATGTGAATTTTGAATGATATTAAATGTAAGGTTGAAATGAACAAAAAACGGGACTCAGAATTGGCTAAACTCCGCAAACTGTTAGAAGACGTGCATTTGGAGAGTGAAGAGACGGCACATCATCTCCGACAGAAACATCAGGCGGCCATCGCTGAGATGCAGGACCAGATGGATCAGCTCCAGAAATCCAAGAACAAGTAGACATTATTTAAAATGAACATGTTTTGTAAAATGGCTTAAATTATAAACAAAAACTTATTGAACGATAGAGTGGACAAAGAGAAGCAAAAAGTTCAGGCGGAGGTCTTCGAGTTGTTGGCACAGATCGAAAACGCCAATAAAGACAAGTTAGTGGCTCTTAAGACCGTCGAGAAACTCGAGTACACCGTTCATGAGCTCAACATCCGTATCGAAGAGATCACTCGTACCGTCACTGAAGTGTCGGCTCAGAGACTAAGACTGAGCGTTGAAAACTCGGAACTCATTAAAGAGATCCACGAATACAAAGTATCTCTCGATAACGTCACTCACTTGAAGGGACAGTTGGCTCAACAGCTCGAAGACACTCGCCATCGACTCGAAGATGAGGAGAGAGTTAGTGTCGCCACAAAGCATTGCCTAAACACTCGTGAATTTTATAATTTGTTTAACACTTATTGAATAGAAACGATCGACTCTTGAGAATCACTGCCACACTCTTGAGGTTGAATTGGAGTCATTGAAAGTACAACTCGAGGAGGAATCGGAAGCGCGTCTGGAATTGGAGAGACAGTTGACGAAAGCGAACGCAGACGCGGCCGCCTGGAAGTCCAAATACGAGGCAGAACTTCAGGCACACGCCGATGAAGTCGAAGAACTTCGGTATTTACCAATTATTTATCATTATTTTCAACTCTTTTGTTCGCATTTGGAACTAATGGCTGACTAATTGTCTTATAGTCGAAAAATGGCTCAAAAGATCTCTGAATACGAGGAACAATTGGAAGCGCTGCTGAACAAGTGCTCGTCGCTCGAGAAACAGAAGTCCCGACTCCAGAGCGAAGTGGAGGTCTTGATTATGGACTTAGAGAAGGCGACGACTCACGCACAGCAACTCGAGAAGAGATGCGCTCAACTCGAGAAGTTGAACCTCGACCTGAAGGTCAAGTTGGAAGAGGTGACCATGCTCATGGAGGCCGCACAACGAGACGCACGACAGAAGGCCGCAGAACTACAGAAACTACAGCACGAATACGAGAAGTTGCGCGACCAGAAGGAGGCACTCGCCAGAGAGAACAAGAAACTCATCGGTAATAACACATCCGTTACTTTGCCATCAATTTCCTGCCATATAATGTGCTTTTAATGCCTTGTTTTAGACGACTTGAACGAAGCGAAGTCTCAGTTGAATGACGCGCACCGAAGAATCCATGAAATGGAGATCGAAATCAAACGTCTGGAGAACGAGAGGGAAGAGTTGGCCGCCGCTTACAAAGAGGCCGAGACTTTGAGGAAACAGGCGGAGGATAAGGCACAGCGATTGGCCGCTGAGTTGGCACAAGTCAGACATGACTACGAGAAACGACTCCAACAGAAGGAGGAAGAGCTCGAGGCTCTCAGGTTTGTAAATCCTTTATGAAAGCTCACGTAACTCGAGTTTAAGAGCCAAACTTTATGGACAATAGAAAGCAGTTCCAGATAGAAGTGGAACAGTTGAACATGAGATTGGCTGAGGCGGAGGCTAAGCTGAAGACAGAAGTGGCCCGAATCAAGAAGAAAATGCAGGCGCAGATCACCGAACTCGAGATGTCTTTGGACGCGGCCAACAAACAGAATCTCGATTTACAGAAAACTATTAAGCGATTGTCGCTTCAAATCACTGTTAGATCTCTTTATAATAGAAATTGTTATCAATATATTGAATGATCACTAATTGAATGGTCACTTCGACAGGAACTTCAAGCGCATTACGACGAAGTGCACCGACAGCTGCAACAGGCGGTCGACCAGTTGGGTGTCGCCCAACGCCGGTGCCAACAATTGCAGGCAGAACTGGACGAACAGCGCGTGGCTCTGGAACAGGCTCTTCGGGCCAAACGTATCGCCGAAACCCAATTCGAGGAGGCGATGGCTAAAGTCAACGAATTGACTACAATTAACGTCAATCTCGCGTCCGCTAAGAGTAAACTCGAGGCCGAGTTCTCTGCCCTTCAGAACGATTACGATGAGGTCCACAAAGAATTGAGGGTAAAGTAGACCATCAACTCATAGCACATCCCAACCCACGGACTAACGCATCATTTTGCGCAACAAATAGATTTCCGACGAAAGAGTCCAGAAGTTGACCATTGAATTGAAGTCAACTCGGGATCTGTTGACCGAAGAACAGGAAAGACTCGTCAAATTGGATACCATTAAGAAGTCGTTGGAGAATGAGGTGCGAAGTCTGCACATCCGTATCGAAGAGGTTGAGGCGAACGCATTGGCCGGCGGTAAGCGTGTGATCGCTAAACTTGAGTCCAGAATCAGAGACGTCGAGATCGAAGTGGAGGAAGAGAAGCGCAGACACGCGGAGACCGAGAAGATTCTCCGCAAGAAAGACCATCGCGTGAAGGAATTGTGCCTTCAGTCAGAAGAAGACCACAAGACTGTCACTCTTTTGCAAGAAAATTGCGATAAACTCAACGAAAAAGTGAAGGTCTATAAGAGACAAATGCAGGAACAGGTACTGTATATCGCATATTGAATGGTAGTTGAATTGTCTGACCAATTGTCTGTCTGTCTGTGTGTGGTTTAGGAGGGAGTGAGCTCTCAGAACCTGACTCGAGTCCGTCGATTCCAGCGCGAGTTGGAAGCGGCCGAAGACCGAGCGGATCAGGCGGAGAGTAATCTATCTTTTATTAGAGCCAAACATAGGTCTTGGGTGACGACCAGCACTGTTCCCGGCGGTACTCGTCAGGTGTTTGTCACTCAAGAAGAAACACAAAACTATTAATAAAAACCTATTCAACAATTATTGTTATAAACAACTTAATAAAAAATAGATTTGGGAAACACTTTTGGGATACCTTTCACTTAATTATAGCTTAATATTTAAATATGATTTAATTTACACTCAAATAATAATTTTAAAGTCCAATATATTCTTAATTGACACCAAAAAAAGCTGCCATTTTTGAACAGTTTAACTAAAAAAGTTTTAATTCTTTTACTGCTGTCCACAAGTTATTTTGCAAACGAAATCATTTCCACAATCCTTCAAAACCCCCGTAAAAATACAATACAAAACAGTGATTGTAATTATGTTTTAACGTAATTATTATATTTTAAATGAAATGTTATATTCTGTAAAATTTATTGATTAGTTGTTTATTTCGTTGCGATTGTTATCTAAATTTATTTTATCCGTCAATTTATATCCAATCAATTAATTATAACTAAATAAAGCGATGCACTGGAGGTTACTTATATGCACGAGGACTGGCCGGCCGGACAGCATCATTCCGCTATGACATGGCATACAATATACACAAAACACACATTAATTTCAGTGCATTTCTATTTAATTCAATCGATTATTACGAATAAAAATTATGCCATTTATTGAAATTATTGTCTTATTTCTCAACTCATTATTTTTAAAGTTTTTCATTGAATCTAATCTATGAGTATAGACACTAATAGTGTAAAAGCACCCGAGAAAGCATCCGATTAGTCACTAATCGCAAAACATTTATAAACCTGCAAAATATTTGCTGATTTAATATAAAATTCTGGTATTTTATAAAACATTTTATTAAAGTAAAACTTTTTTAAAATTCAAATTTAAACAACATTTACAAATTCATTGAAAATAAAATCATATAATAATCACTAATTTAAAGTAGAGTTGAGCCGACAATTGATTACATATTTAGTAAAATTAGTTAAATATTTATTAAAAAAAACTTGATTTTAATAAAATATATTTTTACAATTATTATAAATGTCAACAATTTTAGATGATTTCCAATCGTTGGTAATTTTAAGATCTGTTTGGATCTCAACCTCGGTATTGAGTTCAATGATCTGAATTGTGGCCAATTTTGACAATTCATTCAACATATTGTCTGTAATATCCCAGCAATCGATAGACAAATATTGAAGTTTCGGTAAATGATTGGCGATATTTGTGAAAAACTCTTCAGTTATCTCATCTCCGAATGTTCTGATTGTTAAATGTGTTAATTGTTGGCATTTATTCAACGATTCGCTCATTAACTCATACTCGTCGGGGAAATAGCAGCTCAACTCTAACCGCTTTATATGTTTAAAGTAATCATTAATTGTTTGAATAATTTGATTACACATTTGCTGTGAATGGCTTGGAAACGAATAAAGCAATAAACTCTTCAGATTACGGCAATTGAGCGCCAATTGTTTCAATTGATCCACAGATAAGTGAGATTCTGAGAAGATCTCGAGTCGCAAATCAATTAATTGTGACATTTGTGACAAACCATTCACTAGTATTGACATATCTGTGCCGTCTCTGTCGACAGCCACTGTAAACGATGTCAATTGTTTGCCATATCTTCGCATAAATGCCATAAAGTTATCGCTGTTTTGGTTATCGAAATCAATTCGGACTTTTCGTAATCTCTTAAACAATATCTCGTTTTGATTACCTCTCATTAGAAACGATGGCACAGAATATGAATTAATTTGTGTTAATTTTGCACAACAAATGAGTCTCTGTTCAAGCAATGGATAATCTGCGGACCCATTCATGTAATAGTATCTCAATTGTTGTGAATATTTAGTAAAAAATGCCTCAATTGTTGCCACACTTTCCTCCCGTAAATAACACGAAGAAATTGAATGCAATTTATGGCAGTTCTCAACAATTGTATCCAAACGAGTCTTCGCCGGCTTTCTATTAATTCTTGTGATATTTTGACACTTTTTCAGTATTAATGCAAATGTTTGGTCACTTATTTGGGAATCCTTTTCAAATGAAAGCTCTGTTTGTTTATCATATATCACTTTTTGCCACTCTTTGGACACACATTCATATTGGAACCGCTCTTCGAGTTTCAGATACGACAATAATTGTGACAGAAAACACAAATCATCATCACCACAAAATCTGTCCATTGATTGTCTCCATTCGCTATCACTTCTCCGATCACTTCTTCTCTTCGATGCAAACAATAATTCATTAAAATCTATAACAAGTAAAGAAATAATATTAATATTTATTACAAATTGAGATAAAATATTAATTATTTAATTTAAATGACACTTACATTGAAACCAGACTTTAATAATAAATAATAATGCGATTAAATAAATGCTATCCATAACTCAATTTATCGAAATATAAACACAATTTAAGCAGTATTTAACAAAATTAAACTTTTATTTATATAATAACTTAATGTTTAAAATATAGATTTATAACACGTTTTAATAAAAATAATTGAAATCAAAGTTTGAACAAAACACACAATCAATATATAAAAGACGAAAATCACTTGATTTGCATTCAATAGTTTAGAAAATTGTGTCTCAATTTATTTATTATTAAAATTAATAAATTATATCAACAAATCTTCGCACTTATTATACAATAACATTAAGAAATCTGTTTAATCTTTAACTTAAAAACGAAATTTTCATTTAATTTTAAAACAAAATCCGTCTTCTCTCTGAAGACTTGGAGACCGAGCGAGAGATGAGACAAAGAGTAAGTTTGGATATTATTTCCGTAGAAATCATTACTAAATCATATCAAAAGCACTTTAAACCCCATAGAAGTCATTAAATGTTGAAAACTCTTTGACTATTAAAAAACTATTGAAATTATTGTCTTATTTCTCAACTCATTATTTTTAAAGTTTTTCATTAAATCTAATCTATGAGTAAATGTTCGTTCAATTTCGCTCATCACTTGTTACGAAGCATTTTTCATTACTTATAGAAAATTCCATGCATTTAGTAAAAAGGTTTGCAAAATTGCAATACAAAGTACAGTACATCTCATACTTTCAAATAATTTCTGGTATGAGTTCAGAGTTTCTCATAATTTTTTAAATGCAAATTCAATTTCAAACTTTCACTGCATTATTATTTAAATGTTTTTGAGTTATTTCTTACATTTTCACAATAAAGTTGATCGCAGAGTAAATGTCAAAAATGTATTCATCACTGAATTCATGGAAATTTTTTGATATTTGCAGCCAATTATACGATAGTTTGATTGAAACGATGGATCATTTTGTGGGTATATAAGACGCCGAGATTTTGCATTTCAAATCAGTATCGTTTGTGTTCTCAAGCCTTTCAGTTCTTTGCGAATTTCTATCAATTGTTTTAAATATTGTTTTTATTATATATTTTTATTTTTACAAGTTTTTTAAGTTTTCTTAAGTTTTCACTTCTAAAATGTATTTCTATATCATCTCAACCATCCTCTTTGGCTTCGCATTCAGCGCTCCTCCAGAGATGTTGACTCAAGCGACTGATGAAGTGCTTCATTACGAAGAGATTCCTATGGTTATGACCGCTGGTCCGGAAGTCTACGAAACGGCTAAACCTTACGAACCGATGGCTGGAAACGAATACGAAGCGAAGGAACCCGAATATGCGACCGAAGGACCCGCTTATGCGCCCTCTGGGGATGGATACGATGCCAAAGCGCCCGAATACCCCACCGAAGGACCTGTTTATACGGCCCCTAAGATTGAATACGAAGTAAAAGAGCCCGAGTATGCGGTCGAAGATCCGGAGCCAACAGTGGTCTACGAATTGGCGACCGAGTCTTCCCTCACAGAAGAGCCGGAGTCGCGTCCATTGCAAAGACAGACCTTTATTTTCAACTCAGGAAAACACTTATCCGAAGCCATAACCGCTAAAATTGTTGGTCCAGTGGTTCTGTTCAACAGCAAAGTGGCGGCGGCTGCCGGAGCTCTGCCCCCTATGTTGGCCGCAAAGGGCGCCGTAATTGGTTCAGCCATTTCCACACCCATTCAAATCGGAGCCGTTGCCGGTTCTAGTATTGTTAGCGGAGTGACCGGTAAACTGGTTTCCGTTCCCATAGC